CGTGAGGGGACCGGCGAGAGGGGACAGGCGTGAGGGGACTGGGGTGAGGGGACTGGCGAGAGGGGACCGGCGAGAGGGGACAGGCGAGAGGGGACCGGCGAGAGGGGACTGGCGTGAGGGGACCGGCGAGAGGGGACCGGCGAGAGGGGACAGGCGTGAGGGAACTGGCGCTCGTGCGGTGGTGGCGTGGTTTGCGTGGGAAAGAATCCTAAAGGTCATCCAGTTTCACCCCCTGGTGTGGGTAGGGTCAGCTTACGCTAGACCAGATTGCTTCGAGCACTGTCCAGCACGGCCTTGAACACTTCCAGAGATGGGTCAGCCACAGCTGCTCCGTTCCACTCCCTCACCTCCCTCTCAAAGAGGAATTTCTTTCAAATCCCCAATCACAGAATCACAGGGTCAGTAAGGATGGAAAAGACCTTAGAGATCACAGAGTCAAGCCTATGACCTAACACCACCTTCGACTATGGCTCTAAGAGCCACATCCAGTCTTTTCTTAAACACCTCCAGGAATGATGACTAAACAAATCTAAACCTCCTCTCTGTCAGTGTGAAGCCATTCCCTCTTGTCCTGCCACTACATGACCTGATAAATACTCTTCCTTCCATCTTTCTTGTAGGCTCCCTTCAGGAACAGCATGAAGCTGTGTCAGGGGAGGTTTAGGTTGGATATAAGGAAAAGTTTTTCACCCAGAAGGTGGCTGAGCACTAGAACAGGCTTCTCAGGGAGGTGGTCACAGCACCAAGCTTGCTTGAGATCAAGGAGCATTTGGACAATGCTCTCACATGGTGGGATTCTTGGGGTGTCCTGTACAGGGCCAGGATTTGGACTCAATGATCCTGGTGGGTCCCTTCCAATTCATCAGATTCTGTGATTCTGTGATTCTGTACTGGAAGGCTGCAATTAGGTTATCCTGAAGTCTTCTATTCCAGGTGGGTTCTCACCTGAGTGGAGCAGTGGGGCAGAGTCCCCCTCAAACACAGAGTCGTGTACACACACCACGGGTGCAGGAGGGCATGGACAGCAGGACATGGCACCTGCAGGTACCTCCCATCCCCTCAGCCCCCTGAACATTCTGTGGGCCCACACCCATCGTGGCTCCCTCAGCACAGGGCTCTGGGGGCTCTGGGCGCCATCAAGGGTAAGATCAACTTGGGACAATGGCACAGCGCAGTGCTCCAGGGCCATGGTGGTGAGGGAGTGCAGGCACCCACCTCAGTGACTGCTGGAGCATCTTTCTGCCTCTTCTCTGTCTCCATAAGCAGCCAGCATTCACCCAGCTCAGGGTATTTTCAGTCTGAGGTGCCTCAAAGAGTTCTGTCTCAAACCATGTGTAGTTTAACTGTGATGTACTAAAAACAAGAAGTACAATTGTGGTTTTTACAGTACCAGAGTATCACAAACTGTGTTAAAATAAGGACTTGAAATTTAGGAACCCATGTCTCTGCACCCTTCAGCAGCACTATTGAGACATTTTGTTTACCCACAATATCTTTCATTAATGGCTCACTCCCTCAGAATAGAAATCTGCTAAAATTCAGTCATGTCCTGACATTTTGATGCAATTCTTTCCCTCTGAAAGCTGAATCTGTGGTTACCACTAATGAGGGATTAAGCTACCATTCTTTCTTATACAAACCTTGTGTCTTTTAAAGTTAGTCAAGCATACCCTCTTGTCTGATCTGAACTAGTCCTTACAAGAAGTTGTTTAATGTGTTGAGAAATTGTTCCTTTCAAGCTAATTTCTGCTGTGGCACTTGGCCAGTTGACTTCATGTAGCTGGAGTTAACCAGTTAATTGTAATTAGATTTAGTTATCTGATTATATTCCATGCCATTATGCCTGCAACATCCTTTTCCTGCTCTGAAAGCCTGAGATATAATCATACCTGCATAGCAGGGCAAGGAATTTACACCCACTCAGATTTCTCTTTGTTCATAACATTTCCCTCTTTAGATTCTGGGAAATGTTCTAATTCTTACTGTCTGCCTCTATTCTACTTCACCAAATGACCAGGTAACCAGAAAAGCTTTATTTTGACTTTTAAAGGCATTTGGAGTTTATTGATAGAGTGAAAATCCATAATTTAATGTCTAAATGAGTTGTCATCTCAGCTGTTTTCTGCAGAAACAACAATCTTAATAAGATAGACAAAGAAGAGGGAAGCAATGTGGGTTTAAATTTTTCTGATGTTATTTATTTTCCTGTTACATCTTCTCTTATGGAAGCTCCAGCCATGCATCGTTAGGAGGAATATAATGAATAAATGTGTGGGTGAAATGTTTCAGGAAAGCTGTGAGGCATGCTGGAGACTGAAGCCCGGAGGACACAGGCTGAAAGTGCAAACCGTTCCATATTTTTGGAAAATTAGGAGCACAGCCTGCTAGATATGAAGGGAAGTTTGGCCTTAGGGAGGTTATGCAAGGTCGGTCACTTCCCTCCATCTGAGCACTTCCCCTGGATTGCATTCCTTCACACTATGAACTTTAGTTACACAACTCGAAGCAACTCTTGATTCAGACAATATTGCCATGGAAATTAATGAGAACTATTGATAGTCAATCCTTTACTATTAATAACAACAACTAACTGAGAGTGCATTTGCTTGGGAGCAGTGCAGGGCTGATGCATATGAGAAAAGATTCAAAATGCCTCTCAGCAGTGCTGGAATGTGGCTCAAGCTCCTGGAATTTCAACAGGCAGGAACTTGCTCTGGTTTCTTTTGTTTGCATCCCAGGCAGTGAAGAAAAGTGAAGTGATCCTGTCTTCCCTTTGTCCATCAAGTCTCATCTTCAGAGCTGTTGTGCTAAAGAGAGGAGATTGTCAGCAGTTCACAACA